TGCTGTGAGCAATGGTAGAAAGTCACATTGGTCACTCACACTCTAGTGACCTTAGAGCACGCGAATGAAACCTACAAGTAGGACGCAATTTCCTACACGACCCCAACCCCTCATTTTTTAGATTAAATCTCTGTCTCGTAGACAGGGTTCCGATAGGAGTTTCATTTGTCAGCAGCGTTAATGGCACAGAAATGAGAGTCCCTAACTCTCCACTCACAGCGGTCTCACCTCCTGCTGTAGACAGAACTGTCGCTGTGGGTCGGTCTGTTCGCCGAGCAGAGCTGAGCGGGAGGGTGGGCGTTCTGCGTGTCGGTGGCGAACACAAATGATTTGTAGACTTGGTGGTTTTCTAAGAAATTGGGTGATACGTACTTAAATATAAAGACACCATTGGAGATAATTTAATCGAAGCATGGCCTTTTCTAATTATAAAAATGTTCACTGCCATTTGATGTATACTTGTACTATGTGGTAGCTATCTCTACACTAAAAACGCCCCCCTCCCCCCAAAGGTTAGTCTCTCTTGAAAATATATATATTTTTAAGTTATCTGTTTGGTTTTCTCACCAGAAGCTGAAGAGAGTTAAATATTGGGTTGTCAGAAAAATCATGACGCATTTTTGCAACGAAAAGCATAGAAAAAATACTTCATGACTTTTCCAACAACCCAATAATAAAGCTGCAGTGCTTCTTGATTATTCAAGTCCTACATTTGGGGGCAAAATATCACTGTTGGTCTACCATATACTTCAAGTTTGAAGCATTAGATATATTTCCTCAGTTTTGAGGACAATTAATTCAAGAAAATTGAACAGTGTAATGTATGACCAAAGGAGATGGCCATTAATTGAATCCTTAAGAAAACCAGAGGGTCATAGATGATTATTGAAGCTAGTGTATTATTAATCAACCAACATAATACATCAGTAGAGAAAAGTTAAACCAGAGAATGAAAAGAATGTGCTTATTCCGATACAGAAAATAAGATTCTTGTATACAGCAATTTAGAGTGATACAGCCCCAAAGATTAATATCTAAAAAAGATTTCTGAAAAGAAGATGAAAATAATAATTTACTTTAATATTTAACTTTCATGCAAAGCATCTTGCACATTTGTCAAAATACAATTTTCTCAGTTAGGTAAGAGCTTTTAGTAAAAATGTTAGAAATGTTGTAATAACCACATCTGGTGCTTTTTTTTTAATTTTTTTATTGTGAATTTCAGATCCTGCCCATAACACCTGCCCAGACCCTGGTACTCCAGCCTTTGGAATACAAAATAGCTCAAGAGGATATGAGGTATTTCATTTTTATTGTATCATGTTTTTCTGTAAGTACAAAATNCAGCAATGTATCCTGTGTGTTTTTAAAACTATGTCATCAGTGACATCAATGTATTACTAGTTGCAATGTTAGTGATGGGTCACTCTGTCATTGTTTGGGGTCCCCTACAGCTGTGTCCTGTGGAAACCCGGGCACACCCACCAACGGCATGATTGTCAGTAGCGAAGGCATTCTCTTCTCCAGCTCGGTCATCTACGCCTGCTGGGAGGGCTACAAGACATCAGGGCTGATGACTCGGCACTGCACAGCCAACGGCACGTGGACGGGCACGGCCCCCGACTGCACAGGTCAGCCCCACGCCGCGCGTCGGCCCAGGACGGCCCCATGAGAGCTGCATGACTGAGAGAAAGACATTTATTTCTGAAAGTGTTTTAATACCTAGAGAAAGAAAGACATGCATCGTGTGACGTTTTGACTCTTTTTTTAGATACTTTTAGATTTTTCTTCACTTTCTTATTTATACAGCTGAAACCACTCTAAATGGCCAGTTGGGCCAGACATTGTAAAACGGAGGCCAAAAACAGTCAGGGTTTATTCTCTGTGTGGACAGCTTAGTCAGCATGGAAATAGGAAAGGTGTATTGTCTCTGACTGCCGCCCATGTCCCTGTCCTTAACTGTGCGGTGTGGTGACAGCCGTGCCCCATTAGGGCCTAGCTGAGGATGCAGCCAGCATCTACACAGGTACCCACCGTCGGGAGAGAAATAAGCGATTCTAAACACACAGCATCCCGACAGCCGGTCAGTAAACTGTCAGAACCGTACAGCCAGAATAATTCACGGGTTAATCACTTAGAATTGAGGAGAGTAAGCTGAACAGAAGCCATGGCTAATTCATCTCAGGATGATTTTGTGCTTCTCTAATGCTTTTTTCTTTGTTCCCGCTCGTTAGTTATAAGCTGTGGAGATCCAGGCACACTGGCCAACGGTATCCAGTTTGGGACAGACTTCACCTTCAATAAGACTGTGAGCTATCAGTGTGACCCCGGCTACCTCATGGACCCCATCACGTCCCCCACGATCCGCTGTACCAAGGACAGCACATGGAACCACAGCAAGCCCGTCTGCAAAGGTTGGTGGCACCTCATTTTCGGTTCATCCGTACGTACAGAAGTCTATTGAATAACGTTCCGTTTCACTTTGCAAGCATCTCTGTAGTGCTGTGTGCTAGGAATGCTTGTAAACTCTAAGTCCCTTCATTTTCTGAATCCCGTAATCTCAGTTTTCTAGATGCACAAACTGACTCACAGGGAGCCTTCGTAAATGGTTCGGGGTCAGATCAGGAGTGGGGGAGGTCAAGATTCAAAGGACAGTCATGCCACCTCTAAGGCTGTGTTTCGAATCCCGGGGCTCTGCTGTCTTGGTGACCATGGCAACCCCGGCTACATTAGGGCTTGCGGCAGGCATGATGGCTGTAATTGCAGGAAGTTATAGAGTCAGGCTAGACAGAGCAGCTGGTCAGTGGAGAATGACAGAGAACATTGGCGGCGCTGTGATGCTGAGACTGAAGATGCTACGCAAATACAGACACCGTGTGGAAAGGTTTATGACGTGTGCAATTGGGCTTACCAGGAAGAGCGGGGCAGGCTGCGGCCAGCTGAGTGGCTAGAGCGGAGTAGGAGGGACGGGTGCGGGGGATGGACCACTAGAGTGACAAGGGAGCGGGCTGGGGGAACGCTGTACCAGGGGGAGCGGGCCGGCTTTCTGTCCACAGGCCAGAGCGGGGCAGGCGGGGAACAGGACAGGTGGGGCTTGACAGTGTCAGTGAGCAAACATGGAAACACGCTGCCTCCCGTGAGGCCAGGGACAGGGCACGTGCTGTAGGGGTCATGAGCTGGGACCTGGGGAGGCCTTACTGGCCCCGGTGCCACGTCCAGTGGGCCTCGGGTAGACAGGGCCTGTCTGAGGCCTGATGAGACCTCGGCTCAGCCGTGTGGCTGTGTCTGAGAGGGGCAGGCTCTGGACCACTGCGCTTTACCTCCCACTAGCGTGAGGACACAGGGGCTTCCTTTCCTCCTGTCTGCACACAGCAGGCACTAACTAGACGCTTAACGAAACTCGCTAAGTCGTGTCAGGAGCATTTGGTCACTTGAGCACATTGATGACAGCTCAGTACAATGGCCTGGTCTCTGGGACGTCATGTATGCTTTTGTAGACCTTTGTCCCTCCTTCTAGCCATTGCGTTAATAAGTAATAATTAACCCCGTGGCCAACCTGGGCCCAGACCAGACTGCCGACTCTCCCCCTGACCGGTTCTCCTCCCGGTCAGCCTCCTTATCTCCTCTGTTGAACCACGTCATCACTTTGCCCACCTGGAGCCTTTTCACGTCCCAGTCCCTCCGTCTAGAGCAGCTCTCCCCGAACCCTCAAATACAGATTCTAAGAAGCAGCTGTTGAATAGATGGATAGATGGATAGAANTATCATTCTCTATAGAAAACGGGGGTTACCGGTGACTTTTGTCATTTCCACAAAAGTTTGCCATGACCATATATTCAATACCCCAACCAAGATCCTCTCCCACTTGACGAAGTTACCTTCTCTGAATCTATTAGAAACATTTGATCCTGATGGGACATTTCAACAAATTGTGAAAAGAAGGAATTGTTCATGAATCACAAAAGAAAAAGCATTTTAACGTTTTTAAACACCAGATCATTTGTACACCTACTGTATTTCCATTCCTTGTAAATCTTTCTTTTGTCAGCTGCCTCGTCTTTTAATCAGAGGGTTACCAATTTCACGTCTCAGATCAGCATATCTCATGAAGTTGCTTAAGTATAGCTACACAATCGCTTCTAGTTCCGTTAGGCAACTGTTAATCCTCAATCCCATGAAATGACGACACCTGCCCTGTATCCAGGTAATGGACATGTGACAGTAAGGATGATAATGACAATAACAGCACATCAGCTACCATGTTTGTTTGCCTTTGCTGTTACTAACAGGCCAGATTGCTTACTAGGCATTTTGCACATAGTGTGTTTCATCTTACAACAGCTGGAAGCCATTGTCTTTATTACACACATCATTCAGTAAGCACACAACACACAGAGGGCTTGCACCGACAGCACAGTTACTTTATCGTATGAGCAGAGTCAGACCCAAAGCTACTTAACTCCATGTAACAGCAATCTTCCCAATATAGCATGCTGAGTGAACAGCACTGTAAACAATAAAGTGTGTTCAAAAAAAGCATAAAGCTATTTCATCATACATCAAGTAAAACAATGATTTTCCCCAAAAAGAGTCACATTAACCAGAAGTACTTAACAAGAAAAGATGTATTTAAAAAGAAACTTTAACTTGTAAGTTTAAAAAGTGTTGCTTCCCTTCCAGTGACCCTAAATTTGATCTCTTGTTTTGCTTTAGTATCACCCCCTTATATCTGCTGATATTGTGGCAGGTGTATAAAACAGACAGATATGGGGAGGCTGCCTTCTAATCTTCATCTTCATGGGCATAACCGTCAGGGAAAGTGTTCCTGTCTGGAAAGAAAAAAAAACCAAAAAACCAAAAAAAAACGTTAACCATGAATTTGACTGTACAGAACACAATATTGAAGGGACTTTCTAATAATTAGGGTGGTGTTACTGTGATTGATGGGCATCCTTTCACTGATGATATATTTGACTAAACTTCAATAGGTTTCACCAATAACTTGTTTCATTTTAGCGTTAGTCTTTCACAGGTGACTTTGGAAAATTGTTACATAGATTTTAATAGCAGATATGATTAGAATAAATAATAATGTCAGTAACATAGGTGTCTTTGTTGGTTTGCTAAATTATAAATTGGATCAGTACATGTTGTTTTTCTATTTCAGGCTTTCCATTAGCACACCTACATAGTACCTGTTATATAAATGATGAATTCAATCTTTGTTTAATGAATAATTGTCTTGAATAGCCTAATATCCTGTTTGTTTTTTTGCAATATGAAATTTTAATATATATCACAGCCACCATACAACTTTTGAACTTTAGAAAATGTTAACTATCATCTGCTTCAGTGTTAGTAAATATGTCTCATCTCAAATGCCAATCAAGAAACTGCTGAAAGTTCTGTTTTAGAAAAGACTGTAAGTTCAAACCCAGATTCATCAGGGAAGAGGGTTATGATTGATTAGTTATGTCTGTCATGGGCACAGCTGTAGAAACATGGGAATGTGTGCTTTATACTTGTCAAATGAGATCTAATCCAACTGGGAATAAGTGTATTTTTCGACATAATCTGATAGGAAATTCTCTAAACTCCCATTGAGTGGCTTTTACATGCCACATACATTTTGTGGTCTGTCTGCGATGTTTTAAGAACTATGTATCTTTATTCTTAAGGCTAGATTTGGA